CGCCCTGAGGTTTACAGCATCAGAGTTTAATTAACGACATCAGATGCAAAGACATATATTGGCATCATGCATACATGAAGGAGATGATAAAAACTCAAGGGAAGCAAAGTCTAGAAAAAAAAATACTAACAAGGATAATATGAAATACTTGCCAAATTTGTAGATTTAGGTCCAAATGCATAATCAAAAGCATATCTTCGTTCTTTGCTACGATTCTGTATGCGATCTAAGTAATCCTTTGACAGGTCAGGATCCAGAATAACAACCTCCTATATTCATCATTGTTGTCATGAATTACCAAAATTTAATGCTCGGGTTAATCAATCAACTCCACAATGAATATACAATGCTTTTCATATAGAACAGTAGAAAAATCAACTCCACAATTACCTTATCATTGTTTACTCTAACTATATCGCGGCCTCCTTCTCTATCCGTCAATGGCCTACATTTCACTGCTACCTACATCCACCAGAATGATACAGACAAAGCAAAATACACATCAAAAGTTGGATAAACATACAGAACATGTGATGCTAAAGCAGTCCTGAATAGAAACGTTACCGAAAGGGTAGTGGCTTTCCTTGCAGCTGGAGCTCTAATGCTTGGCATATTTGACGAACATTTGCCTCAAAACTTCACTAAAGGTTTGAGTATTTAGCAACCAGAAGAGGAATTTTTTTTTCAATTTTCAGACCTATTTTCTAATTTGAATTCTGACGACGAACTACTACTTCTAGTTCACAGAAATTTCTGGCGCTTCGCCAAGTAAAAATGCTTCGATAATCAAATCAAATACAGTTTCCAGCCAAATCGGTAACCGCAGTTCGTTCAAACAATTAATAGACACAAACAACCAGATTTCATCAAAGGGAAATGAAAAATTCTCGAGAACCGAAACGGAAAATATCTGTATATGCAGATGACTGGGGACAAAGAGCAGAAGGGAAAATTGGAGGGGTTTCCTCGAGATTAAAGAAAATGAATGTTTTTTAATCTCCCGAAAATCGTTACTTATATCTTTGAAACAGTAAATTTATTTATGAGGGAACTGGAGGTGACCACCACGCCAAATATAATCCGTATCAATGGACACGGAAGTTTTAAATTTTGATAACTCATATTAAAATATTTAATTTAATTGACTTTCGAAATATTAACTATGAAGTAACGTGTTGTGATAAATATAAATTCAGAAATGTACAACAAACTATTAGTGGAGGGCAGTAAATGAATTCCCTTTTTTTTATGTTGTAGATTTCATTAAATATGGTTATGGGTTTTACCTTGAGTTTGGATGAGGGAGGAAAACACCGAACCTCCAATTTAGTTAACGATAGTGACCCTTGATCGTTATATTAATGTTGTGTTTGGACTTTGGTTAAGACAGGTGAGTTATTTTTGGAATCTTATGGGAGTGGAAAGACAATAGAAAAGTTTCTACGTTGCTTCTTTTGCATAAATTTACTTTTTGGAATTATGTGGGGACAAAGACATTTTTGAGTTTTGCAAGAAAAGTTTTTCATTATAAACTAATGAGAAACTTTTTGAAGTTTGAGAATATTTGAATTTAGACCCACCAGCTTCTTTACTCTCAAGTTTTGAATCCACACAGATTTCTTTTAATTATAAAACTGGAAGGCGTGCCAGCAACAACTGCAAATTTGAATAGTACTTAATATTTTACATAACTAAAAACTCATTAAAATTTTACTTTTTCTCTCAAGGCATTTGATAAAGAATATGTTAATAAAAAAATATCTTTTATTATTTTCAAGAGTGAATAGTTTTCTTAAAAAGTGTCTCCTAGCTACCATTTATTATGATTCCGAGAGAGTAACTAATAATCATAGCAATTTGACCACCTTATAGTAGAGTTTAGGTATAATTGAATGCAATTAAATAATTGGGGCCAAACATAATTTGATTTGTTTGTTTGGTCAAATAATTACTTAAACAAAATGAAATTGGTTAAAGCATACTCATTGATTGACAAAGGGAGACAAACAACTAGAGGCAAACTCTCTTAGGACCCGTTTGGCCATAGATTTCCCAAGTAATATTTGGGGGGAAAATTGACAAATAGTGTTTGTCCATAGAATTTGTCATTATTTGGCAAATATCCCAAATTTCCAAATACTAATTTTTTCTAGTATTTGGGTCAAATCTCATTATTTGGGATCTTTCAAAAATTGAAATTTTACATCAAACTTTTATCTTTTACAAAAACACCCTCTATAGTAGTTGTTTGTGTTGTATTACATAATTTAAAATTACGTGAACACCAAAGTAGTGATGAAATATTCAGTGAATATGAAAGTGATGATATGGTTGTTGATGAAAATGATGAACAATCGGCTCAGGGTGATAAAGTCGTGTGCTTTGTCTACTTCACGATATGGAATGATACTTGTTGCACTCACTCCAAACTACCACATTGCTCCAGTGTCATGGACACTATTTGTTATTTGTTGCAACGAAGATCCAATTGACTTGTAATACAAACTTATGATTAGTTTTGATAGTTTTTAAAACTTATGGATATAAATCATATTTTTCTAAAAAAATGAAATATGTTTCCCAAATACTATGGCCAAACACATGGTGAAATTTCACCCAAATAATATTTGTCAAGAATATGTGGAAATGTATGGTCAAACGCTAGTTTATTACTACTTCATTCGTTCCATATTAATTGTTCATTTTTTCTTTCACGTATTCCTTAAAAAATTATAAATAAACATTAGTTGGTCCAATATAGTAGTAGGTCCAAACAGTCTACCAGAAAACAATGTAGACTGCTTGCTCTCAAATCTAATTCATCAAAATGTAATAGTAGTAGTTGGTTATCTTTTACCATGAAGAAGAAGATGCAAGTGTCATGAAGAAGTAGGGTCAGAAGGTACATCTATAATGAGGTTTACTGACTCACTGGTCCCAACACAATGAGAAACAAAAAAACACAAGAGGGACAATGAAGAGATAATTTTGGATCCATCTCACTTGTACTTAATCTGCAAACATGATGACTAAGTACATCTTGCTAGCCAAGTGCACAGGCATATTGCATCTTCTCACTGAATCATTAATTTAGAGATGTCAAATGAACTGAAGACGCGGGTCAAAATGATTCAAAAGTTACTTGGGCTGAAATGGGTTAAGGATCATATATGGATGAGCAACTTTCACATATAACAAACATAAAAATCATATTTGTATGTTATGACTATAGTTTGCATAATTGTGCTCCATAACAATTTTTTATGTTTTGCTATGGAGCTTTTGATTTGTATAATTAGCTAGATACATTCAATTTTATACAAATTGTTCAGTTTTGTATAAATTCATTTATATATTGTAATTTGTATAATAAGATCTGTATTTGTATAGTTATAAGTGTATATGACGAAAATATATGTATTTATATTTGTATATACAATTTTCTCTGGATTTATACAAATACAAACGCATATTATACATTCTATATCGAAATGTGTAAAATGACTAATTGTATACCGAATCAAATGGCAAAAAAATGGAATGTTTGCTGCGAATTACAAATAAAATAAATTATGGCTATAACATTTAATTTGAATTAGTAGTTTGTTATTTCATACAATTTTCCCTATATGGATCATAACTAAACTCATTCAATTCTTTAATACTCATCACCTCCCTCTCACATTACTTAATCTATGTTAATTTGACACACACCTTAAGAAAACTTTTATAAAACTCTCTTGATTTTAAATCATACAAAAGTAATATGAAACGGAGGAAGTGCAATTTACTTTATTTGTTCTTGTATAGCACCTAATAAAACTATTGCTTTTCTGTATCATTATAATATATAACATACCAAATTTAAACAATGTCATTTTAAAAATATTTTGACAAAATTTCTAATTGAGCAATTTGAGTTACATATTACTCAATTTTTGAGGGGCTAAGTCGATTAAACTGAACAAATAAATGGAGAGATCAATAACTTGCCCGAATTTAAATAGATTATATTTTCATGGATTAATTTTGCCATCTCTAGAAATTATTATGTTCAATTTTAGTTAAGAAGATCTAGAGCAATAAAATATAGAGAGCAGAACAACCACAATCTTTAAATCATAAACCTGCCACAATGTACTTTTTATGTTTCAATTTGTCTTCGTGCCAAGAAAATGGCATATCTCTCTATTTTGGAAATAAATTTCCTCTTAAGAAGCTTTCTTATAGTCATGCAAATGTCACTGAAATATTGATATGCCATAAAAATGTCATGTTATGTTTTAAGACGATTGATTTTAAAAAAATATATTTATTTATTTTTCAAATCAAATTATGACAAACAAATTGATGAAACACACATATGCTGAAGTTAGAGTGCCTTGACTAATCAACAAACTGGAACCAAGAAGTGAATTTGATGGCGCATGAGACTGACTGCTCTTATCTTAGATGTTTAAAATGGAGAAAAGGACATAATCTTTTGGTGGATGGTTAGTTAGGGTATAATAATTTCAACGTTGACGACACTGCTATATGTCGCTTTCAGTGTTGGGCCTAACAAGATTTATTTATTTCACTCCACCAACCTCAGTATCAGACTATCAGTGCTGAAACTCGAAATGGCTAGCGACAGTAAAAAGGCATACTTTTTTATGTAGAAATAAAGACGCAATAAAGATTTTCTGATTTTTTTCTTTTAAGGTGGGGGGACAGGGGATGGGTGCCATAGAAGCAGGGGTGGAGCCACCTTATACTAAGGGGTTCATCAGAATTATAATTTATACATAGTTAAAATATTTTTTTATGTATATATAGTGGATGTTGAATCCCTTTCAGCTATTTCATGTGTCTATTTCTACAGATTTTGAACCCCCTTATTGAAAATTCTGGCTCCGCCACTGCATAGAAAAGGGGGAAAAGATTTTGAAATAAAACAATGTTTTTCATATCAATTATTGAAAATTCAATTATTCGTTTAGAATTGGCAATGCCCTCACTTGTGTCCGTCCTATTGACTAAAACAATTACTCTGAAAGAATACGCATTGTAATACATTTTTTATTAAGTTAACAAAACACCGTCCTCTACACTACATGTAATAGGCACCCATATGATATGGCATGGACAGAGAGATAAATACGTGAATATGTAAAGAAAATCTACTTTACAAGTTTTTTATTGCTGTATATGCAGAGATATGAATGTCGCAGCACTTTGCATCCCACGAAAAATCCTTTGTCATGGCATCGACGATCTTCTTGTCCCATTTTGATGGGTTATTCTTCTGTAATAACATGACATAAAGCAAGATTAAAAAAATCTGCTCTTTTTCGGGAAGAAAAGTACTTACCAGAAGCAGACAGCTGAGTGAGAGTAAAGTTTCTCATATTTATTAGGTTCTTTCGGGTCCATAGGGAAGGTGTGGAGAGGCTAGAAAGACTTTCACAAGACTCAACTACTTACAAGTTCATCAATTGCTTGGTTCAGGGGCATATTGGAGAAGGTATCATTGATATAACGAGAGAATTCGGTGCCCTCAAGATCACGATCCACAGAGTGCCTGTTCATCCAGTAATTTGATGAACTTTCTCAGCAAGCAAGGAAATAACAAACCTTACAAAAAGACATTTTTCAGCTTATTTTGCATTCATTGTTAACTAACCCGTATTTACTGTCGGTAAAATCCAGTAGAATAGGCATAGCTCCATATCTCATGGCCTTGAGCTACAGACATGAACAGAGAAATGTCAGGAGCACTACAATTTCAGCATCTAAGAAAAAACAGACAGAATCTAATGACTCAAAAGAGAATCAAATATGATGTCAATTAAGTGTCATTAACAACGCTCATCAATTAATTGTGGAAAACAAAGAATGTTGCATGTATTCTAAATTTTTAGAACCTTTCTTCACTTGTCCAACCACGCATCATACTGAAACAAAATGTGTGGCCAATGTCTTCCATGGTGAAATGTAATTCTTCATAATAAAAGGTTACAGTATTTCCCATGGCAAATATGTACACTAAAGTGTAGACAGACACCTAGATCTGTGAACCGACATGATTGCTAGAACATAATCAGCATGTGGATTATTGCAGGATTAATCCCATCGTGTGCCTAGAACAAAGGATCGTTTAGATAAACTGGAAGTTGGTAATAAGCCGTCTTAGTATTTAAGGATGTCCAATTCTACTATGTAATGATCGAGTTACGCTAATGTTTTATGGTTTCAGCGTTCTTTGTAACTTGAAGACCTTCCAAGTTCTATATCACTCCTATGTACTCCTTTGAATCTTTAGTAAGAAGATAGGGTCCAGCATAAGTCATACCCCCCCCCCCCCCCTCCAGGTACATGGTAGTCTATTTTTTGCGCTTTTTTAATTAAAAAAAAGCATGCTGTTTCATGTTTCCACATTAGTCCACAAAAGATTGCAAAAGATAGAATTTTGCGGAAACCACTTACTGGTATTTGGAGTACTGTACCATCAAAAGAAGGGCATAGCATGATGTCAGATCCCGCAAGTACTAAATGTGCTAAAGATTCATCATATTTGTTAAGAAATCTCATGTTTTCATCCTGTGGTATTGAAAGATTCAACAATAATTTTAGTTCCAAAATCTTGTGCAATTATACATTGCAATGAAGGAATGCAATTACCTTGAGTTCCTCCTCAAAATATTCCAATGTCGAATTTAAACCAGGAGTTTGACCCGAGCCCATGAAGACAAACTGCACGTCACCAATTTGAAATTCTCATTGGTTTAAATAAACTCAGAAGGAAGACAAAATAACAGATATAATTTTTTTAGAGTCATTAGTTTTCCAAATGGAAGTGCAAACCTACCTGAAAAAATCATCAGCAAAGCTACGACATCAAGAGACAGACATACAGAGAACCATGACTTATTTGAGAAAAGCAACAACTACGCCTCAGTCCCAAACAAATTGGGGTCATCTATATGAATCCTCAATGACCATGTTTCTCCATTTAAATTCATCCTAAGGCCAAAAGTACTACGAAAAATAAAAAGTACTAGAATTTATTTTCCTTATGGAAAGCACACCAAGCTTATTCAGAAGAATGACCTGAACACCTCTCCTTGAAGCCATCCAAATAAGCGTCTTGAGGTTCTCCAGTTCAATATCAGAGATGTCTGAGAAGATGCATCCTACCTGAAGATACATCATTAATAAGCTAAACATATGATGATACATCAGTTGAACGCAATATTAAATTTGAACTACAGTAATGATGTCCTCATCTGGTCACACTACAACAGATGGATGTCTTAAAACGAAGCAAGTTATAATCAAGAATCAATAAAGGATTTCATTGAGAGCAAAAGAGGCGCACATCAAATCGCATGTCACCAATCTTCCATGGAATAGTACCTAGGGAAAATTACCAAGAGGAACCATAAAGTTCAGAGAGAACATTTGGGGTTTAGAAGTTCCTAAAAGGCATCCAATAGAGTAAGGGACATAAAATTTAGCAGCAAAGCAGACATTTTACCCAGTTCTATTAAGAACACCACTGTTTTCCTTATGGAAAGCACACTCAATGTCATTCATACTACATGAAACTAAAATCATCAGTCTAAAGTGAAGAAAATGTTTGTTTTCAAATTTCCAGAAACTCCCCCCAACTACTTTGTCCTTCTAACTTCGGTGATACTTACTCATATAATAAATTATTCTGTCCCTTGATCAGTGACAGCACATCGTTAGGCAGACTGACCTAGACAATTTCATAAAGAAAAAGCTAAAAGAAGAGATAATCTTTGAGAAATCCCCATCAATAGTGTTTGGTTATAAACTTTTGCAGGTAAATCTTCAACCAGAGTAAAACCTACAAGAACAATGGATGCTTTCTCCTGCAACCCCAGATGCTGCTGCAACGAAACTTTGCAGACAGATTTCCCCTTCAAATCTGCACTATAGTTTTGTGGTAGAAACATATCTACTGAAGGATCCCAAGCTGAACTGTCGAATCCAGGAGGAGCAACTACTAACTTGTCCCTACAATCAAGTTGTATTAACAAATGAAAAGCATCCCCATAAACACCAGAGGGAAAACAATCCTAAGAGACTACTAATCTGTTGCAGCAAGCAAAAGCATCTCTGGAGCCTTTAGCAAAGAATAGAACTTGCCAAAGAATCAGAAATCCATACTGGGCCTGATTGTAAAATGTTGAAGAACACATACTTGTGTATAGTTAAGGTGGGCTCAAGACCATGGCTCGTAGCATGAATTATCTGCCCTTTTGTTTGCATGGATGACATTATGATAACATTGTTGGAGTAAACCACTCCAGCCTGGACGAAGACAAAGGAGCAAAATGTTATATGATGCACACTAAAAGAACTCAACTTTGTCTGGAGATAATCCATTGAATGAGGAAACCAAAAGGCAAAAAAAAATGAAAAAGTCATATTTATGGGAAAATATAAATGAAAAGCGTGGAGGGGGAGTTCATGTTGCCTGCTTTCAAGTTCAAACTCTCTCCAATTACCATGTGCAGTGAATATGAAGTAGGAATCCCTTCTAATGGGAATACAAATATTCCACTTATGTGACCAAACGGCATCCAGTAACTGTACAGTCAAGCATCCAATAGAAGCAAACAGTTAAGAGGTCAGAAAGCATCAAATACCTTCAAAACATTGACAAGATGGGATTTGTTGTTATCTTGCAGACGGTCAGAACAATGTAGTCCATAAGGATCAAGCCCACATAGGGCTAACTTTTCAGGTTGCTCTACACACTGACACATATGACATTCAGAGATTGTCAAGAGGCTTGGTGCATTTCAAAACCATTCTAAGAGTAAAATAGTAAATGAAACGCATAATGGGGCTCTTGCCTGAGACTCAAAGCTTTGACATGTCAACATTATCCTGGTACCTCCAAGTCCCTGTACATTTGAGAAGGAAAAAACACATCAACCACAATGCAAACATCAAACACCATAGTTTTTGTCTAAGAAATACCACAAAAAGAGCATCATAGAGAGGAAGCAGGACTAGTCGCCTGAACCGTGTTAAAACAAAATTCAGTTGCATTGTATGTGAAGTAACACATTTTAGTTTACAACCGCAGAAGAAATATATAACCAGACCCATCAAAATTACCAGCAAAACACTGTAGTTTTTTCATGTCAATGGCCCAATTGAACAATAAGGTCAAGAGGACATTCGGTAAGGAACTAAGAAATCAAATGCACATCTCCTAAAAGGTGGGAGGGATTGGAGTTAAGGATCTAAGTGTCCGTAACAAAGCATCGTTGAGTAAGTGGCTATGGAGATTTGGGGTGGAGGTACAAGATTTTGGGAGAGGAATGATGGAAGGGGGTGGAGAACAAATGATGTCACTATGCCTTATGGGTGTGATTGTGGAGGAATATCATGAAGGAATGGGTAGAATTTAGAAACATTATATCATTCAGGATAGGAGAGAGTTAGTTTCTGGAGACATGGTGTGGGGATAACTTGTTGAAAGAGTATCATGCCAAAGGGAGTTGACAATCTAGCAGATTCAGAGGATACATAGTGGAGATCTTTTGGGACTTGAGATTCTGAAGGGATTACCATGATTGAAAGGTGATTGGGTTTCAAAGATTGTTAGCTTTGCTTCAGAAGCAAGGCATGCCAGTTGATAGCCTCTAGCTTTTTCCCATTTCATTAATGAAAAAGATATTTACTTAATCAAAATAAAAATAAAAAATCAATCAAATGGCTCCACGTTGAAAAGAAACAGAGTGACGCTAGATCTATCTTACTAATAGTAAACATGTAGTAAGAAGTTTATCGTTGTTGAATGCAAATGCTAAGAAGTGAACCTGATTTACAAAAACATCCCAAAACAGTGGACCAACAATAGATGTTTCCCAGTTGTGTATATGAAGCACATCCGGGTGCTTTCCTGCTTTAATTATATAATCCAATGAAGCACGAGAGAAGTAGGTGAATCTGTCATCAAATGATAATTCAGAGAAAATCGTGAAAATACATGTCACTACTTGACAACTGAAGACTTAAAGTAAACCACTGAAAATGTAAGCCCATGCAGGAAGAATAGATCACAAAACACCACTAACACTCAAATACAGGTGACTTAGAGTAACTTCTTCAGCCAGCTGGCCGGCTGCATTGCAGAGAAATTGAGGGTGGGAAAGAGGGAGGGGGTAGAGTGTATACAAACACACTGCCCACTAGTAGGTGCTTTTTTCTAATTAAACTATCAGATCTACGGACATACACCTATGCTTGAAGAAACAACCATCCAAACGTACTTAAATCTCAATAACATGGTCTTCAAGTCTTCTATTGCCATACAACATGGACAATTCTGTGATGAACAGGGTATTGCTCAAAGTCATGATACCTTTATTTGCAGTTTTTGGCCTCATTTACTCCTATCCTCATATCACAAGGATTAGCCGGAGAGCAATTTAAGAAACTTTCCAGGAATTATATCTTGTTGAATAAAGAGAAATTCAGTAGAGATAGTTGAATCTAATCTAAGTTAATCATGATACGGCCCCAGCACATCCACCAGTCTAGTCAAACAGAAAAGTATTCAAAAGCTAGCCTTAAGCAATTAGGAGTTTGTTTGGGATAGAAATATAAAGAAGTTCAGCAAAATTTAACAACTTTGCAGAAACGAGTCATTCTCTACCAGACTTCAGCTCTAAACAACAAACGAATACTAGCATTTTTTCTATCATTGCTACAACTTAGAAAGAGCTAAAATTATTTAGCATTAACATATCACATTGGATCTTGACCACATTTGACAGTGCATTCTATCAGTATGAATGTTACTGTCCTTTAGAAGTTCTTTGATTTCATAAATGTTACCTAAGCAGGTATACAGCAAATAAATCATGTCTTTAGCATGATCTACTGATTCCTACCCTCTTCCAGTCAATAAGCTGCCAAGCTTTAGGTTAACGAAGAATAGTGTAACCATTCTTCTCAACATTGGTCCAACATGAATTCACAATTATTTTTACAAGTCTGTGTGGTTTAGACAAGTGGAAAGCAGGAGAAGATGCAAAGGCAACTAATTGAGATTCATACAACATATTAAGAGAAGCTCTCTGCATTTGAAGCAAACTATAGAATGCTGCAAATACTGTGTTTAAATTATTATTAGATATTAAACAAACAACTGGTGCATGGAGTTTGTTGTTTATTGAAGTCCTCTCCAGTTAGAGTCAATCAACCTTAACCAAAAATAAGTACTATAATAAGAGTTGACCAACAACATCATGAACTAATCCAGCTGAAAGGCTGCATTCTGAGAAGCTTTCGAGTTCTAATCACATTTGATATCAAGGAGAGTGTTCCAAAAAAGACATAAACTTACTAAGTCAGATATAAAGACAACGCATAAGAACATATTAAGTCTAAGATATGCATAAATAAGCGCCTTAACAGTATCTAAAAAAGAAGAAAGAAAAAGGCAAGAAATAAAAGGGATTAGTTGAGCATCAAATGGTAGTATTGCGGAGAGAATAGAGCAGTACATATTAATCAATCAATCAAATATGCATCAAACCAAAACCAGTTGGGATCAGCTACCAGAATAATGGGAAAAGTACATAATTAGAAAGAAATAAAAAAGTTTATGAAGCTAAAAGTTTAAGAAAGGGAGACAATAAGATGTATGAAATTCTTATCCTACTTTATTCAATTGCAAGGTTATCTGAATAGAATCAACAAACCGTTCAAAATCATTTGAGTAGCCATATATGTTCTCACAGCCGAAAAATGCTGAATAGTAGAGAGGTTCTATGAAAGTCACTCCAATGCCACAGACAACCCTGTATAACAAAGAATGCAAGGTTTACTGCTGTTAGCGTCAGGATAAAGTTTGATACAAACAGTGTGATGTAGGTTTAGAGGCCAACTCATCACTTCCTAACTGTAAATAATATCCATGTACTTCCAATTCCCTGACAACAGCCTCACCCCATAAAGGTAAATAGATCAAATACTTCTCTTTCTTTTTTTAGAATTTATAATACACTAACCAGAAACTCACCCAGTCCAGATTCTGTTTCCATGCAGTTGACCATTAAAGTATGAATGGAACTCTGCCTCAACTTCTCGTAATCCATGAACTTCATTTAAATTTAGGCTAGCATATCTGTATCAAATTTATTCAGTAAATTTATACTTAATTTGGAACATCTCATCGATTCAAACAGAGTAAACACGAAGAGGCAGCAGGCATAAGAATATTATATGAATGAGAATACCACCTAGGCATAGACACACAGTTCACAGAAGCTGATGAGTGCTTAACTAATATATGTCTAAAAAATTGGTGTAACGAGATCCAATATGAATGAATACAGGTGTTGGTTCTCCTGGAACTTAGCAGAGAGTACCTTTTAGTAACTTATGTAACAAGTTAAATTTGCCTTCTAAAAAAGAAGATAATCGAAATAGATCTTTAGTTCCTGTAAATAGAGTATATATCCCATCTCTTTTCATCTATATCTGAATCTAAATTGCTTCTTCTAACGCCTCTTGAGATGTTAGTTCCAGAAAAGTATAAATAAAGAAGTTGCAAGTGCAAGCTTTCATCATAAACCAACCAAAAATGAGAGTGGCAAAAATATTCTTGATTACTTGGGTAAGATAACCTCGACCAGATTTCCCTTTCTTTGCAAGGCACGAGATAATCCAGTTACATATGGTGCCAAAGATCCAACTGATACCACTGGTGCCATTTCAGTACAAATGTGGATTATGTGGTAACCTGACCTGAACAACAGTATAAAAAGAAGAACAGATGAAGTCCAGAAAACTCAAATGTAATAAATATCTACTACTAATACACACAACTTAGGGGACTACAGTATATAGCAAACTTATAACTGACAACGATAGAGGGAAGACAACAAGCTGGGGTAAAGGGAAACTATCAGCATATTGGTGTTAAAAGAAAAAACAAGCTAATTCAAACCATATACCAGAAGAAAATTCTAATTCACCTGTGTGACATCTATGTTATATCCTTCAGGTCAGTTTCACCTTTATGATGAAGAAATTTTTTTAAAAAGATAGATAACTAGAACTATGTTTAATCCAAAGAGAAAATCAAGCAACGGAGTATTTGGGTGAAAATTGTTAAATAAATACTTCTGAAGCAATTAAACTTTTGCCAAAAGTTTGCTTCTAAAGTCATACCTTCCGAAATAAGTCAACACATTGTTGAAAACTTACTTTCTACTTTTCCGGGGGAAGTGGCGCAGCTCTACCAGAAGCTCAGTGTCCTGTTTATGCATTTTCTCAGAGAAATAATCAGCTATACTACCTATTGAATCCATGACCAGCCATCTAAATTCTGATGCCTCCTTGCTGCCAATCAAACTGGTAAGAACCATAGAGTCTATCCTTAGTAGTAACTCAGCACTGAGTGAGAACTTATCTGTTTCATGAAACCAACAATGAGATCTTGGTTTTATCACCACATGCAAACTCTCCGGAACATGTGCCAAGAATCATCAAATTGACTAGGATAAGAAAAAATGAGAAGATACCAAAATACAAGAAACAGGATAAGTAAATGCATACTAAGTCGAAGACTCTGACCATTATATCTACAACTTCCGCATGTAACAGGAATCACTTCATACATCCTAAATGGCATTTAGAAAGTTCTGTTTTAAACTATCAGACATTAGTCTTCTGTTGAAACTGAAATGGATAACAAGACACAAACTTTTAAAAGTTGGGGAGATACGACATAAGATTACATATCCTGCATAACCAAAATCTAGCACAAGTAAATTATCAAAAGAGACCAAAATGTACTTCATCAATTTCATACATTTTCAACATGATTAACCTAAAATACTCTTCCTCTTTACCATTGGTCACCTTATTGGTCTTAGTTGACTGAGATTGCCAGCCCCGCCTGCTTTCCTATTCCTGTTAGTTGACATGTTTTTCTTCACTGTCATTTTATATCTTTCCCATTACTATTTGATTTGTTTCACTTGAGCCGAGGGTCTTTCAGAAACAGCCTCTCTACCTCTAAGAGGTAGAAATAAGGTTTGTGTACACTCTACCCTCCCCATATCCCACTTTATGGGATCTCATTGAGTATGTTGTTGTTATTGTTGTTGTTGAATGAGATTGCCCTTCTTATGGTGGGTTCATGTGGCTGTTCACATGTAGGGTATTGTGTTTTTCATTGAAGGAAACTCTCTGATAGGTCCTGCAAAAGATAAAAGAAGAATGCAAGAATAGTACCACAACCTTTTCTTGTATACATCAGCTTTATTCTCTCTAGTTGCTCGATTCTATCAAGCAATGAACGTTTCTCTCTTTTTACTCTATCAAGCTCTTCCATTGCCAAGATGCGTTGTTTGTTCAAGTACAAGATATCTAGATAGAAGGCATTCAGTAAAACAAAATAAGAAGATGTATTACACATGTACTAAGTAAACTCGGATGGACAAAGTGCATCAACAATAACTTACTCTGTTGAGCTTCTCTGAAAAGTTTCCTAATGGCACTCCTCATTTGAGGAACATTCTATAATAAGAAAAAAAGACGAAAATATTGCAGTAGATGAAAACACGTAGTAAAGCAAGATTGAAGCAACTGAAAGAAAAACACTGCAGTACCTCATCACTACTCTGGTTTCCCAACCTATGTTGCAAAACAATATAGTATTTTAGTTACAATAAAACGGATAAACTTTCAGTCACACAGAAAAGCTAACTTATATGAGAGGGGAGAAGGATGAATTCGTGCTCACTCCAACTGCAAAGGTCCACTAGATGAGCCATTACTCTCTGCATTCTTCCTGAAAGAAGTCGAACAAATCAGAACTGTAAGAAACATACAAGGAATGGAGTATTTATATGTTATCCTATAAATATATGGTGTAATGATACGGCGAACAAATAGCAATTTTTTTCCAATTTTCATGCTAGACAAACATTTCTCTGTTATAAACTTTCAGGAATACCATAATTTCGCTTAAACAAGCAACAATTAAGAGAAGGAAATAGAATCAGAAGGGAGCTAAATGAGCTGTACTAGTAAAATGTATTATAACAACAACATACCGAGTGCAATGTAGGGTTGGGTGTATGCAGACCTTACTAGTAAAATGTATTACCTAACGCAACAAATGAAGGAAGCTCGAGAAGGTTTGCCATTAGACGGAGAGAAGTTGCTCCGAGAAAGAGGAGTTTTGCCGATGGATGAACTGGAAAGCATCTCCGTGATCATTTGTCCGTTTGTTGTTACAGTAGCGAGTACGAGTGGGACAGTCTGACAGAGAGAGACGTGAATTGCTAGCTATGATAAATGGGAGATTTTGATACTTTCTAGTTTCTACCGTCAAGTGTCACGTGATTCGTTCAAAATGCCCAAACACTCCTTCTCCTAACTGTTTACAGCGCCCCTAATAACCGTCAAATTAAAGCGAGGTTGACGTGGAAAATTTTAAATTACAGTAATATTTTAAAGATTGTTTTGTTAATCATTGACAATTTACGATGCAGCTAAAATTCTCTCACCAACCCTAGCTGATGTTAGTAGCTGGTTCAACAAGTGGCTTGCTCATTCAAGTAAATCTCTTTCTTCACTTTAGTCCCTCTTCCCAGCAATAGTCTAGTTCAACTTCATTGCATCTCAAGCTTGACAATTTGACACCAAACTTTCCGCTGTTAGAAACAGCTTCTCAAAATTAAAAAACTAATTGGAAACGAAGTACGCCCTCCAAGAAGCATTTTTTCCTAGACATAAAACAAACGGATTTCTTGCATATACTAATCATTCGGGCTATGTTACCTCAGAATCCAACCCAAGTATTTATTAATGCAAAAAACAATAGTAGAAGCATAAAACATTAATGATTTATAATATACGTAATTATTGAAAATTCAGAAACCAATATTTGAATTATAACGCAAGTCGAATGTCATAAGCACATGTCACGGCAGAAAATAATGTAGCAAATAAACTCAACAGGTGCTCATGTACCTGAGATTTTTCTCACAACTGGCTTACAAACAGGGGCGCGTTAAATTATTGCAGCTGCAGAAAGATTAAAAACTCTCTGTTGCAACCGTGCTTGGGCAATGAGCCACAACGCTCAATAGATATAAATCAACAGGTAAATTAAGCGGTGACTCAGATATTCCTGTACAAACTTTGTGCTAGCAAAATATGAAAACCTCTATAGTTCTATCTAATAAGCAAGGAAAACATCTTTCCCATCATTAATGGCTCAACTTGCGCTTCTTTGACTGTTTTCTCAACCGCTCCCTCCTTTCTTCTTCTTCTATCTTCCGGAGTTCCTCTTCATCCTCTTTCTTTGCTATTTTCGCACTGGAGAACAAAATAAATTGAGATCAGCACTCAGCGTCCTCTCTTGCTTGCACAGGAAACTATTGAAGACGTTATCATGACAAGATAAGTACTACCAGGAGCACAAATAGCAAACAGACAATACATGTCCTAGATACCTACGTGTGTTGGGTATGAAGGAAAATGTCTTTTCACAGAAAATGTTATCTTGTTCGGTAAGTGAGCAAGAAAATATTTATCCAAGAGCATTTATATGTTATCTAGCAAAATACTATGGAGGCAAGATGAGATGGGAAGTGGCAGGGGGTGGGGATGATCAAGGGTGGGAATTGGGTGGATGGAGAGGAGACAATAAACTTGGAATGCAACTCATAGAACGTGTTTTTCCTACTACCATTGACGGGAGTCATTTTCCTCATTTTTAAGGAAGTTTTGACCAACAAAAACATAGCAAATTGGAAAACATTTTCTTCCTCCACCAAGACAACCCCACCCCCAGTCTAGAAAAGTTGCTGGTTTTCATTAAACAGCTGTCATAAGCATTGATTTAAGGTTTCAAAATTGTATTAGAAAAATCCAAAAAAAAAAAACATTTTAGAGCCAAACACAAATGAAGTTAACTATAGTTTTAGAGCCAACCTTTGTTTTTCTTCCTTCAGTATGTCATCAAAATTAGCCTCCATATCACTAGTGTCATCCTCATCTTGATACCTGTTGGGATTATACCTGCAAAAAAAAGATAATACTTTCTCAGGCCAACAAACTAGATGAAATTCAACATTAAGCATTATCAAAGCTAGCAGCACCTTGCAGTTTCAGAAATCTTAATTTAACTATCTCCCTGACCCCACCCTGTGGGATATGTTGTTTCATTTAACTACATCACGTAAAGAACATAAAACAAGTTTTATCTAAATCAACTGTATCAGAGAACGTAAATATTTAACTTAATCCATTTCCTCTGCGAAGACTCAGAAGAGTATCCACATGTACAAAAAAATTATTAAAGGCTATAAAGTTTTCAAGTCTCACAAACCCTTAGATAATGAATAAACTAAAAGAAACCTACAAGGAATAATTTGATAATAACAATAATTTAAAAAAAAGAATTCTCAGAAAAAATAAAAATAGGAAGAATTAGTACCTAAACATCCTCCTAATCATACTAATAGCTTCTGCTCCATCATCTTCTTCTTCATGTCTCATCGGCTTTCTTGCAGGGTGCCTATCTTCCAAAAAACGAGTTGCATTTTTAGGAGGCAGTTGCTTTATCTGTTAAAATCAAAAATCAAGATCAGCATGTCTTCATCACCACTACTACTCCTTGGAACAACCACCCACCCCCCACGAAGGACCCAAACCAAAATGAAGGGCAAGTAGGTCTTCATTCTCTGCAAGAGAAGGAAAAGATAAAATGGATAGCATGCAAATGAAAATATAGGTGAGACCTGAGAATTAGACGACGGCACTGCCTGTTTCTGCATAATCGGCTTATGTTTGTATGAAGGCTCAGCTTGTTGTGGCATCACCTTTGATTTTCCAGATTGTAGTATTTCCTTTTTCTGTACCAAGTATTGCCTTGGAATAGAAGGTTGCAACTTTGAAGAGGTTGGCTTATGCAAAGCAGGCACAGTGCTCTTTACACCTGGTATCAAAACCCTCTTGCCGTTTGGACCACCTATGATTTTGGGCTGCACTCCCAAAGGCCGGCCAGGCCCACTCCCTTTACTGCTACCCAGTTGTTTCCTGGAATCTAATGCTAGTTGAGTTTGTTTACTAACAGAAACAGATTTCTGACTCAACAGTTGATGTGGCATTTGACTGCTTCCCAGTATAGGTTTCCGTACTACACGATCATCTAGCAACTTTCTCCCAGTATTGCTTGAAAATTGCTTGGTGCTTGGTGGTAAAGCTACTCGTGCAGAAAAAAAATATATAGAATAAGTTTTCTGAATAAATAGATTACGCCCTGAGCCACTAAATAAATTACCAGATCAGCTACGACAGAAAACGCACCAGAATTAGCAACAGATGTTTTATGAGGTAGAGAACCTTTTGATGGAACAGGAAGTTCAGCATCATCAGATAATAGAAATGAGTAATCTCTTGTATTTTTTAACATCTGCACCTTTGTTTTTAACTGCAGAAAATCATATGGCAAAAAATAGTTTAAGAAAGGCATCAGCAAATTACAGAGAGGAAATCAGAAGTAAAACACAATGAAGAGAAGTACAATCAATTTCCACTAAATAAATTCAGTACCCCATTATTGACTTTTGGTGCATTGTTGCTGGTACCAGATTTTGATCCTGTGTGTTTTGATGCAGAGCTCTTATTGTTCTGCAAGAACAGAAATGTAATGTAACAGATATAAGGTATGCGGTATGCCACTGACATCAATGGAAAGGTACGTATGTGCCATCAATGCCCATAGGCTACAATAAAGATGACAACAATTAACCATGCAATATTGGCATGTCATAGAAAGTACAAATTTTCCAAAGTGCAAAGGTGGAACCTAAAGCTGTTGTCTTAGACTCTTAGCATGTACTCTACTGGAAAACTAAACTGAAGCACATGCATCTTCATATGAATTAAAACTTGATACATACAGTGTGGTTAGACTTCATGACTTTTGCTACCAAATTTGGATTCTCCAATAGCGACTTGCTTTCTTGGATTACTCTTTGAGCAATTACAGGCTGTGAAGGTCCAAAGAAGGAACCATAACTGAAAGTGCCAGAAAAGAAACAGGAATTAAGACCAACACCATAAGCCGCAAAACTGAAATCAATGTATACCCCCATCAATAAATCTTTAAACGGAGTAAGAGATACTTTTTCATGCAATTAGAAAAAAAGGGCAGCCCGGTGCATGAAGCTCCTGCTATGGGCATGATCCGGGGAAGGGCTATTGTACGCAGCTTGCCCGGCATGCTGCTATACTTTTTGCAACTATGCCATGAAAACTAGAAACAAACCAGAAATATTAGAATTATAGTTCTTAGAATCTAGAAATCAGATTTTTCGCAGAAGTCCTAATTATCTTCAAAAGTGAACAACTTCAAAAGAAACTCCGGCAGAGGGATGACAATCATATATCCAAAGAAGACATATAAATAGACATCCAAAAATCCACTTGACATGGGTTTGAAAAAAGCAGCAGACTGGGTGAGAATATATTCATTTCACAGAATTGATAGATTCAATATCAAGGAAAATATCATATTGACAACAAACAAGGGTGTCCAAAATCTGAAACGCGCTAGTGGTACTTACTTGTCCCTTGGCAATGTCTTTTTAATTTCACGGGAAAGTTCATTAGCAGAACCTAATTCTTTCTTCATCTGCTTCCTGATATCTTCTTTCAGTCGTTGTCTCAGCTCCAAGTACTCCAACAACTCTTCTGGAGGCTGCTGGGTTTCTTCCTCCTCATATTCCTCTGCACCACCTTCTTCCTCATATTCATCCAAATCTTCATACTCCTCATATTCCTGAATGAATACAATAAAGCTGTCATATCAAAGCAGAAGATGAACAATTCAGAAGAATAATGGATATTTAAAAAATAAAAATTAAATTACATCTCTTTCATATTCGCCCATAGCTGTTCTGGGTCAGCCAATCAAGTTCTCAATAACGCACAAACACCAACAATCAGAAGTCCTGAAAAGAGAGAGAGAGAGAGAGATGGAAGTTATGACCACGGAAATAAGCACACAATGGTAACCATAAAACATTTTCCACCATAACATAGTAACAAGAGAAATTCTAAAACTTGTTACATTTTGACAACCGGATCACACCAAAATTGAGTTGATTTGCAGAAGACAAAAGCAATCAACATCTACCAATGATCAGATATGGAAATAAATCAGACATACTTATGCAAATTATGAACTGATCAATGATTTGAAACTTTCATGAAAACTTAGTAATTGATCTTTATTTTATTTTTGATAGTTAGTGACCCTAGTTTTTTTAGGAAGAACAAGAAGTCCCAAATTATCAGTAATTTATATCCAAGAAGCCTACAAATCCAAGATATCTGAATAAATATTACCTGAATCGATCGAGAATGCCGGAAAACACCAGTGATTCATTCAAAACTCGATGGTTTCGTGAAAACTTAGTAATTGATCTTTTATTTTTATTTTTGATAGTTAGTGACCCTAGTTTTTTTAGGAAGAACAAGAAGTCCCAAATTATCAGTAATTTATATCCAAGAAGCCTACAAATCCAAGATATTTGAATAAATATTACCTGAATCGATCGAGAATGCCGGAAAACACCAGTGATTCATTCAAGAATCAATAATTTTCATGAAAACTAAGTAATCAATCTTTATTTTATTTTTGATTGTTAGAAACCCTAGTTTTTTTTATGAAGAACAAGAAGTCCCAAATTGTCAGTAATTAACATCCACGAAGCCTACAAATCCAAGATATTTGAATAAATATTACCTGAATCGATCAAGACTGCCGAAAAACACCAGTGATTCATTCAAAACTCGATGGTTTCGTGAAAACTTAGTAATCAATCTTTATTTTATTTTTTATTGTTAGAAACCCTAGTTTTTTTATAAAGAACAAGAAGTCCCAAATTGTCTACAATTAATATCCAAAAAGCCTACAAATCCAAGATATTTGAATAAATATTACCTGAATCGATCATGAATGCCGAAAAACACAAGTGATTCATTCAAGAATCAATAATTTTCATGAAAACTTAGTAATTGATTTTATTTTTGATTGTTAGAAACCCTAGTTTTATGAAGAACAAGAAGTCCCAAATTGCCGGTAAATAATATCCAAGAAGCCTACAAAATCCAAGATATTTGAAAAACTATCACCTGAACCGATCTTGAATAACGGAAAACACCAGTGATTCGTTCAAGAAAACCTAGAAATCGATCTTAATTTTATTTTTGATTGTTAGAAACCCTAGTTTTTTTATGAAGAACAAGAAGTCCCAAATTGTCAGTAATTAATATCCAAGAACCCTACAAATCCAAGATATTTGGAAAAATATGTACCTGAATCGATCAAAAATACCGAAAAGCACCAGGAATTCATTCAAGAATCAATAATTTTCGAAAAAACTTAGTAATAGATCTTCCATACCTGAAAAAACCTAGCCGATGGAGTCGAATCCGACGAATAATACCGAAAAAGGAGTAGATGCGAAGAACACAAAGCGAAACGTTCTTGATCTGGAAAAAAAGACCACAACGGAAGCGAAAGTAACGATCCGGCTTCGTTGTGAATGGGCAAACGGTGAATAATATAGAAAAGAGAGAGCTGGAGGAATGACCCAGAACAAACGAGGCCAAGGCTATCGTGCGCCGGGCGTATATAGCCCGAATCCGCGTTCGGTTTCAACATACTTGGTGGCTTTTCCGTGGAACGGTGGGAGAAAAATGTATGCATTAAGGCGTTGCCTTAGGGTGTATTTATTCCTTCTTTTATTTTTGGCTAATTTGTTGATATCTGTTTGTTTTCGTTTTACCCTTGGCGCGTAAAAGATATTTTGAACAAGTCATGTTGAGGTTTTGTTTGGAATGAGAATGACCTAAAAGAAAGGAAACTACTACAAGTTTGATAATTGATTTTAAATTTGCATAGATATGACGAGAACTTTAAATTTTGACTCTGATTCTTCGATGGCAATTTTTATTGTATATTACTATAGAATTTATTTGTATGGTCATTCAATATTGCTATCATGTAAAGCCACTTTACAAGAACAAAATAAGCTATTACTTCCTACTTCAATATTAGTGAATACAAAATTTCCTGATGGATATCATTTTGTAACACATAAACCAAACCATCAGCTTTACCTAATTTTATAAGAACATAGAAATTTCTTATTGCCATGAAATATTCATTTCATTAGAAAGCTTTGCTCCATAATTCTTGTGCTAGAAAAATAAATAAATTTTACTCTCAATAAAACTAGATCCTGTAATTGAAATCTGGAAAAAAATAAAAAAGATATTAGTGGAGTGAGTATTTAAATAAATGTGAATTGAGAATAACTCAATTAAAATTATTTAATTTTGTAAAATGATTACCAATTATTATTGAATATTAGTTAATCTCTTGTGATAATGTAATATTTCTCAAAGATGTATATTAGGGGAGTGAGTATTTCAAATATATTTTAGCTACATATTCAAAAAATTATAATATAACTTGTTGAAGTGCTTATTTTGGAGGGAGAAAAAACAAAGTTATCAATATGAGTATATAATATATACCTATGTTGTAAATGTATGATCGAGTGGTTCAAGCCAATAATTAGCCCATAAAAAAGTAAGAAATAAATCACAACCTTGATATAAAAATATTCAATCCTTCTCTATTTAGACTCAATTCAATCTCATTTTATGATTGAGTAGATGGAAACTTTATTTTTCTTTTTAAAACCGCGCGATATTTTTTAAATTAAAAAATCAATATTACAATTTTTCTTCAACTAAGTAAATATAAATATGTTAACGAAAAGAGTAAATATATGGGGAAAAGGGTATGATATACCCCTCAACTTTGTCATTTGGAGCTGATATGTCCTTCGTTATGAAAATGACTCATATATAACCTTACCGTTATACAAACGGCTCACATATACCCTCATCATTACAAAAGAGCTCAAAATGAAAAAAATTAGTTTAAAAATTATATTTTTTTGCTTTTAATATTTTTTTAAAAATAAATAAATTATGTAGGGGTATATATGATCCATCAAGCAAAGTTCAAAGTATATTTTAATCTTTTTCATACATAAATTATTTTTTGATTTCTTGGATTAACATTATTTGATTTTATTATTTTTTTTATTTTTTTCTTTCATTCTTTAGTGTAATGAAAAAAAAATTAAAACTAATTTTTTTTTGCTATATTATATTTTAAAGCTATTCTTTGCAGTTATATTGTAATTTAGTTTTGTATTTGAAAAAAAAATTAGGTCATCTATGATAAATCTAAAGGGACTAGAAAATTAGTGAAACAAAAATAAATTTGACCATCAAAATAATAAATTTAACTGAAAAGGGTCATATTTATCTCTGTACTATTAGAAATAGTTTAAATATACCCTTCGTTATACTTTTGGTCCAAATATACCCTTACCGTTATACTTTGAGCCAAATATACCCCTCATTTGTTAAATATTTGAATCTCAATCTTAAAATAGACAAGTGAATTTGAAGTACCCATATCCTTTTTATCCAAACCAACACCCAAAACAACTCAGTTAAACACTTTTTTGCCCATACCCATTTATAAGCAAACAAAAGCACAACCAATTGTTTGTAAAAAACAATACTAATTGATTAGCACGCAGTACATGAATTTGGTTTTTATAATTACTGTTTCCATTTGTTTTGCCAGTCAAAAATACAAAACGTTGAAAAAATTGCAAACTTTTTAAAAATAGATCACTGTATGTTGTTCTTATTGAGTTCATTGTCTGAGTTTAATTCTGAAATTTTTGAAAGTTCAACTGATATGGTGTTTGAAATTTCATTGACTTCGATTCACCCGCTAAAATTATATGGCACATTGGGTGGAGAAGTTGGAAACAAAATTGTTGGGTCTTCGAATCGACATTCTTATTTATGGCCGAATTACTTCTAAAATTTGTGAATGGAAGTTGTTGTAAATCAATGGATTATTGAAAATTATTTGGGTTAGTATTTTTTTTTAGCTGAGATTTTCTCTTGCGTGGTATTATTGAGCTAAATTCAGTTTTGACCTTTTGGGTTCTTTAAATTTGACGATGAGTTTAAAAAAAATTCAAAGTTCTTCAATAAATTTTCACCGTTGACTCATCAAAATTTCAAGTTGTTGAGATTTTGAAGTGACTGTGTGTGTTCGGATGTTGAGAATCATCAACTTAGAAGAATACGATCATTATTGAAGCAATCAAAATTAAATTGAAGATTGTTATTTTTGTGGCATAACTCCATTGTTGTCTGTTGATATTAGAAGCTTTATTTGGATTGGGTTATGAGTTATTTTGGATGCTGGTTTGGACAAAAAGGATATGGGTACTTCAAATTAATCCCAAAATTAAATACACGTGAGGAGTATTAAATGTAACCATATGGATTATATTTATTTTTTAAATAAATAATTAATTTTTTTAACTAAAATTATCATTTTTTATTTCCGTTAGAAAAAGATGTCATGGTAATATGTGAGCCATTAGTATAACAATAAAGGTATATATGTGTCACTTTCATAAAAAAAGAAGAAGGGGATATCAGCTCTGAATAATAAATTTGAGGGGGTATATCAGAGCCTTTTCTCAAATAAAATGCAATTTATTAGACAACATATCTAGATATAAGCACAATTTATTTTAACGAGGGACACAACCCCTCTAAATTGCAAATTGAGGGATAATATATGTTTATTTTTCCAATTTAAATTATGGAAATTAGTTAACAACACCCTTAAACTATGTGAAATGAATAAAAATTTTCTTTTGTTTAAAAGGTTTGGTCCAAAAAATGTCCTTGTCGTCAATACTCTGGTAAAAAAATGTCCTTATTGTTATCTAATGAATTAAAAATGTCCTTTTCGCAAATAAATATGGAGTATTATTTAGTTTCTTTTTAATGCGTTCTTTTTTAATAATATTTTTTTAAAATTAGCAAATGCTTATCCTACTTCAATTCAGAAAAAAATAAAAAGTGAAAATATTTCTTATTGTATTATAATTATTTTTTATCGTTATATAAATAAAAATTAATGATGAGTTTACTATGATTTTATATACATGACATATATTATACATTAAAAGGCATATATTATACGTTAAAAGGGTACATGAGGTTATTCTATTTTAATTGATAAAATTAGATTAATAAGAAAAAAAAAATTTCCTATAATTTTATTTGTTAAAGTGATTTTAAAAGAAAGAAAACAAGGATAGGGTCTTTTAATAATATTTCTAATAGAAAGAACATGCGTTTAAAAAGAAAATAAATTATATTTATTCAGAAAAGGATATTTTTGATCGATTTAATAATTATAAGAATATTTTTGAACCAAAGTATTAACTGCAAGAACATTTTAAAATCAAAATATTAACATCAATGACATTTTTGATGAAACTATATTTTTGTTTATTTCACAAAATTTAAGGAAATTTTATAACCTTTGCAAAGGATATAATACCCCTTTAAAGCAAGCCGTGGGTTCGATTCTTGACAGCCACAACAACTTCCGCAGCATTTTCTTTTTGCACCCACTAATCACTACATTTCATTCTTAACCAAATAAAACATAACAGCCACGGAGGAAACCCTACCCATCTTCTCGTCTCTACCACAATCTACACCTGCAAATCACCCTTTCTTCGTCCGCTTCATCTTCCTCCTTGCTCCATCACCCGTCAGTCAATCTCGCTCGAAATCCTGTATGTTGTTAAGTGTTTGACTCGAAATCATAATCTAGCTTTCTGAGGATTGTTGGAACTTTCTAGACGTTGACTGTTTGGATCATCTTCGGATTTGAAGATCCGGCTATCGGGTGAGTGCTTATGCAATAATTGTTTGTTGATTGATACCTATTATAGTAATAAATTGGTTATTTAATCTGAAGATATAGCAGTTATTTTCCAGATCTACGGCTCAGTCCTGAGCTAAGAACATGTAAAATTTTAATTAGTAGCATGCGGATATTTTACCCTGTTTTTTGCTAGCTCTATGCTTATTTGTTGAGAATTTGGGGATGAGACGCGTGCAAATGAATTCATTTCCGTTGGAAGCAAATTATGATGAATGAAATTTCTTAGTAATTATTTGAGCTCTGTTAATTGAAAGGATTTCCAATCTATATTAGGTTGGGAGTGTATTTGTTGTGAAGTAGGATCTTCTGAGCTCAACTTTTAGGTTAGTGGGTGCACAATTGCACCTGTTTCTCAGAGTATGACAAATATATAGTTCAACCAGAAGCTCTTCTAATTCTAGTTACAAAATAAAGCCACAACTAATCTACTGAAGTTTAGACTGGATTTTTACTTGTTGACATATACTTTTCTTGAATTCCTCCTTCCAAGCATAAAAGAAAGAAATGCTTAGGTACCCAAGCAACAAGCGCAGATATTCCAATCTTGTTGAAATCTGCATCTACAGTTTCCCTTACATGGAATGGCTTTTGGACATGTATTTTTCTTGAATTCCTCGTTCAAACATAAAACAAATCTTTCATGTATTTCATGTCAGAAATCGTTAGGTACCGAAGCATTAGGCATACATATTACAGTTTCATTGAAATCTGCATCCATAGTGTCCCTTCCATGAAATTACTTTTGTGCAAGTCATTAGGAAAAAAATATTTACCAAGAAGGATAGTACCCCCAATCTTGAGATTGCTGCATTAGATTAGTGTGGTCTAGATGCAGCATCTGAATCAGTCTTGCGATGTCACTTCTTATCTCTTCTACCAATTAATGTAATTTTTGCAGATTTATGATCATGGTGTAT